CCGGCGCAAATTGTACTACTGAAGCATTGGCCGGCCGAATGATATCTCCAACCTGGTCTTCTTCGTCATCGTCCTCAATCTTGCGAGTCCGGCGAACATTGTTGACCGAGAAATATGGCTGCGGTGGCTCCCGAGGCTCTTCAATCTTCGGATCTGGTTTCGGTGGTGGCGGCAGGTCAGTGGCTCTAGCCTGGATATGCTCGTAGTACTTGATGCGAATTCCATCCAGCACTTCGGGGAACTGTTCGCGATTTCGGTAAAGCGACATCCATGATGATATGGCACCTAGGACAATAAGAATCAAGACGGCAACAACAAGGAATCCTTGGACGACAATGATGATAATGCCGAAAACCGTAGAGAGGATGCGACCAATGGCGAATGCGGGTAAGAAGGCAATAGAAAATCCTGCAGTGACAATCTTTGTGATGCCCAGCATCCAGATTGCCAAGGAAGTGTTTCTTTGGCCCTCGAAGGGGTTGAGCTTGACAAAGACAACGAAAGCGATGATCTCGAAGACGAATAATCCATAAACTTGGGCAAGGGGGCTTCGTGCTCCGCCACCAATGAAGCAGGCCCGAATGAATTGGTAGCTTAGCCAGCAGGCGAAGAACCACCATCTGGTCCGGCGGTAACGAGCCGATAGCCAACCAAAACGTTTGATGTAAACCTCGTCTTGGTGGACCGTTGTCCGGTTTGGGTCGTCGTCAATAAATCGGATCTTGAAGAACGGGAGGGATCCGTAACGTTTGGCGGTGGTTTCCTTTTCGCCAATTTCGCTGGCACGCGTTGTTGCAACCGCTGGTATTGAACCAAAGAGCTTGCCCTGTTCGAACATGATCGTATCGGGGCCCATTTCATACTTGCCGAGGCGGAGACGGAAGAAACGTGCGTAGGCTACAAGGCCGCCAACGCCAATGAGCAAGATGATGAAGATGATCGCGGCGATAGCTGTCGGGCCGGCCGGCGCGCGAATATTGAACTGGAATAGCGCCAGGGTCATCAAGGAGGAGAACGAAATGAGTAGCGTGCGCAGGACACCAACTGCCAGATATCCGCCCAGGTGGTTGCGGAAGTACAAGAAGCGATCCTGTTTGATCAGCTTTGTCCGAGCAAGCAAGTCGAGCATGAACTTGAACGCAGCGATGGAGACGGCAACCAGTCCAATGGCCACCAACCACCAGATAAGACCAAGTGTGAAAGCATCGGCGGCCGGAATGCCCAGGGCAGAAAGGTCTCCGGCGAACCCAATCCACTTGCCCGGTGTAGGCATGCCCGGAGCGACGGGGTCTCCCGCCCAGTAGTATTCGTATGGATTGCTTGTGTTGTAAACCCTAGTCGCTCGCTGTACGAGATTCGGAACGGGCGCTCCATCGCTAGACGTCGAGAAAGTGTCGAGCGAGCGGCCATAAATTTGCTGGACGAGGCCACCCCCGGTGTTGATAACGGTCGATCCTGCACCACCTACTTGGCTGGCATTACCAGTCACGCCGGCGAAACCGTCGATCGAGTTGATTACCTTTTCGCTGTATATCATGCCGGCGGCCCATCCAAAATTGCTCCACCAGGCGGGGAGGACGCTAGGCCAGTCGACGGACAAGGCACCCGAGAAGAAAACGGTCTGATAAGTCTCGAAGATGACCAGGACTGACAGAGAATGGGCGTAGTGTGTCCTAATATGAGGCATGCTAACACCATACATGGCGGTTGCTGCAGAAGCCAGGATCGCGGCGAGCGTGAACACGCCCAGTATCGATGAAATCGCGGCCGGGTGGGAGAAGCTATTGCCGTTCCGCATGACGGCTTGGAAACAACCTATCTGCGTCTGACTCGAGTTTGCAAAGATCTGGATGCGCGCAGAACCTTCGAAATCGGGAATATCGAGGGCGATGGAAGGAATGCCGTCGATCTGAGCAGGCGTGAGTCTGAACTCTGCAAATGCAGTGATGGGCTTGCTGGCGTTCAGAGGGCACAGACTGCGGGAAGTTAGCAGACCGTCTTGAGAGGCGTCGGGGCTAGAACGCACCTAGCGATGTTGGCCATGCAGGGGTTAAAGTTCATCTCGAATCTTGTCTCGCCATCTGCCTCAAGTCAGCATACCCCATCTCTGCGTATAGGTTCGTCCCAAGTTTTGAATGTAGCTTACAAGCTTCGACGTTGATATGCACTGCAATATGTGATTAGTACATGGATAAAAGTTCAGATTGGTTCAACCTACTCATTAATGATTCGTTTCTGATATTGGTCGTACCGTCCAAGTGGAACTGGACGGTCATGTTGTCGGCATAGTAGGCGGCATCGAATTTTGTAATGTTGAACAAACTTTGTCCTCCCAGACAGTCGCCAAAATCGCCAGTGAACAGGCCAGGATTGCGATTGACCGCGAGCTGCTTGCTGTTGCCATCTTTATCTGAGCCGGTGATGTAGACAGTTTCCGTGGCTGCCAAGATCGTAGCAAAGAAACTGAACAGAACGATCAGGGTCGCGGCGAGCGAAGTCGAGCCTCCGAATCGGGCCATCGTGGGCGGTTGGCGCAAAGGAGCGACCGGGCGATTCGGAAACTCCTGGGCTGGTATGCCCGAAGGATGCTGATGGGTGTGCACACAAAGACGGCGAATGCGGTTTATGTCGTAGTGGGAGCGGTGATGTCTGGAGGAAATCGAACCAAGTGCTGAGAAGCAATGGCAAAAGACATGTAGGTATTCAGTTGTGTCGCATGCCTTGGCTGGGTCGAAGTTTGGAGGTGGCTCGGAGGACGCGGAAGATCGTAAGTGGGCTTCCCGAAGCAGCAGAAAGTGCCTTGATGAATGGTGGAGAGCTCAGGGTCCTGTCCGAGACGAGATGGAGGTGTTTGGGGTGCTTCGACTAGGATGTCGAGCGACTAGTACGTTTCTGCGTGAGGTCGAAGCAATATCCTGCTGGGGCAACGGCACAAAGGGTACGGAGTAATGGAGCCGAGCTGTCGTGAAGATTGCTAGAGAAATTGTTGTTGTTGGATTATCGACTGTGTTTTGACGGCGCGCGTAGAAAAACCTCAGGAGAAGAGCGGCAAGGTAGGGGCGAGAAGGGTCCGTAGTGGCGGGAGGCAAGTGCAAGATAATGGCCGTCTTGCAGGGGTGTTGTCTTTGATGTTCAAGATTGTCCCCAAATCGGCGCAGAACCGACGGCAAGGATGAGCGGACCGGCAGGGCGCTGGTGTGATTCTGGATTTGGGGTGTGATTCAGCCAAACAGGGAAGCCAGACTCCAGTAAGCCGCAGACTGCAATTGTATCCTCAGTGGTGAATCGGGCGCGACAGCGGACACTTGCAGACGGCGGTTGCTCGAACCGGATCGGTTAAGAACAAGGCGAAGGCGGGATCAGGTCAGGGTCCAGAACCGGATACGAATATAGTCTGGGGTAGAAGCTGACGAGTGAGCTGGGAGAGGCAGGAGGAGTATTCTGTAGGAGTAGAAGGGAGGAGAGGGCCTGGAGAAGAGAGGCACAGGCAGGCCGCAGACATGGGTGAACGAATGGACGAGAGTGGATGGTGAGAAAGAGTGAGAAAGGGATATCTCGTATTCATATGATGATTCTACAGCGGTACGGTGTGGTGCCTGGGCGGGCGGTAACAGAGGTACCTATCTACCTTACCCACCTCAGCACACACTTAGCATTTAGTGTAGGAATACCTGGGCAAGATGTCTGGTTTGGAATGCCATTTCATGGGCCCTGGCCTGGAACCGGCAAACCGTCGACGGACAAGGGCAGATGGAGCACGAATGGGTGGTGGATTGTTTTCCTTTGCAGCTCGACCTGCCCGAAACTGGTCGAAACCGGGATACGGGGGCAGGGGTAATGGCGCCGGGATCATGGATGGCATCAGCACGCACGGCGCTGCTTAGCGGTACGAAGACCTGCTCTGGGAGTCTGGTCACTCTGGCCACTGGTATTGGGCATTGCGAGCGATTGAAACCTGTGAAGCATCCCAGGCCATTCATCTTGATCCAAGGCAACATGAGTGAAAAACGTGTGCGAGTAAAACGAACCCGAGAAGACGATGGCGGCAGCATCCGGACCTAGTTTGCTGCAGCACTCGGGCAAGAAAACAAGGTTGATAGCACAATTCCCAATGACACATGTCACTCTCCGCACAAACAACAACCACATACGCAACCTAAGATATGTATGGATTCCTACCAGGCACTTCCATATTCCCTACCTTTCTCCCTGCACTATGGATACACGTAGGTATTCTAGCGATAACCACTGACGTCGAATCCATTGAGCCAGGTCACTGGGTGCGAAGATACCTACAGCTCCCATGCATCAGCTCAGCTTCATCGGAAATCAGGCATGCATAGCGGGTGCATTATGTACCCGGGCGTGATAATCAGGCGATGATACTTGGTGCAACCCTCACATTCAGGCACGTTGAGACCAATTCTTGGAAAGTCGGTATGTTCCCTGTGGAAAAGCCTCTTCGGATCGGTCGGACCGCTAAGATCATTGACCTAACGGAATCTCTGTCAATTTCTACCACACTCTAGCCGCTTACGCTCTAGCCACTCTGCTGCCATCTTAACCTTACCTAAGGTAAGGTAGCGAAAAGCAGCTTGCTGTTCTGGGCAGAGCGGTACGTACCTGACTACTCTAATGGGAAGAGCTCTGACCTGGCCGTTGGCCCATGCTTCGGCCGCGCCGCGATCTTCTTTCGCTTCCATCCTCCAGCCATCAATCATCGAAAGACCGAGTCTACATCGGACTCTTCTCTTGCTCCGTATTTCTGCTTCAACTGAGGTTGCGTGGGGCAACTTTCTCTCTTTAGATTGTCAAAATACCGATTTCTCACCCCTACTCAGAAGCTCTGTCCGACCGCAAGCCAATTCTAATAAACTGCATCCATGGTCGACTTGGACTCGTTACAATCATTTCGTCACTCACATATTTGTGCTCGTACGGAGTACACAAAGAGTTCGTCTTGGTCTGAAACCAGCCACCCAAATCGTCAATGGTGAGCTAGGTATTCAACCACCGCTGATCCGGGACGCTACCGACATAAACGCAGCTTGCGGCTTCCCAAAGCCTCGGCGTCCAAGACAATTCAAACCCGTCTTTGCCGCCTTAGTCCGGAGTGCGGCGTGCCAGGCATATCACGGATCCACGTGCGCATCAGGCCATCTTTGGCATTTTTCAAAGATTACCGCTCCGTTGCCAACGAATATCCGTTCCAAGTACTCTTCAAGAGCAAGACATCAAGAACTATTAGGCGGGAGCAGCGTCTCCCGAATCCTCAACCGTTGCGTTCGCCATTCGAGAAACAAGACCCCATCGTACTCCACCACGGCGGGAAACCCATTCCACTCGACGTCCATCCCCAGCCACGCGAGAAGCTTGCCAACGATGCCCAGCACCAAATCCGCCAATCCCAGCCTTTTCTCTCCCAAATGAGCCGGGATATCCCATCCCCCTGCTGCCAAACGTTTTTAAGCTAACACTCACCGCAGATCTGCGTGTCCATCTCCCGACCACTGGTCTGCAACTCGACTCCATCTCCCTCGTGCTGCATCACCATTGGTCGGAAGTACTTCTGCCACGAGGTCTGGCTACATTCTGAAGCGTCTCAGAGGTGTAAACCTCCGGGGCGGCTTGCCCTAGAGCCGCCTCGAGTCCAGACGGCACGCTGCGTCGATACAGCTCCATGGAATGGACAGGTTCAGCCGATCTACCCTTTCTGCCACGAAATCCTTCGATGGAAAAGAAGTTGGCATCGAGATTCACAGTCAAGGAATGCTGGTACCGGCTGACTTCTCGGTCGGCAAACCCCCTGCTTAGCAACACCCCATTTGCCCCGGTGGCTTTGAGACACAGGAATGTCGAATTCGCGAAGAGACGGCGCGGAACTATGACTTCATCACTTTGCAACAACCCAGACACCATACAAAGAAAATGGCCATTCGCTCAGCCGGCTCTCGAATCTGGTTGAAGGGTATCTGGACGAGCATCGAGTCTCAAATACGGTCGAGTCATCCAACGTTCATTCTTCCATGCTAGGCTGCTCTGTCTCTTTTCGAATCACAGGAAGAGGCCGAAGCTTGGGTTTTCGTCGTTCCTGCAATTGCTGGCTCGAGCCCAGATGACCGCTAGGCGACTTGAGAATTCTGGCGAGCAGAACATTTCGTTCAGGAGCTGCACTGCCGCATTGCACCCATTACCAGCACGGCTAGAGCCCGTTGCGTCCAGCAGCCTTATCAATATCGTTCAAGGGGCATCAGTCAGGGCCGCAAACTTGGCCAATTGCCTATATGCTCTGCTTCAATTTGCTCCAATGACAGGAATCCTCTCATAAATGACGGTGAGTATTCCTCACCACAGTTGACTGACTGCAAAACCGGTCTCCGCTAGCTTTTACTCGTGGAGCCACGGAGTCGACGAATTGAATATTGATATCGGACTGCATCGCCAGGCGGTATGCGTTCCAAACCCACCAGAAGCATGCAAGCCTAGATACCATTGACCTCGTTGAAACTACAATAGCCGACTGTTTTGAGAAGGGATTGCGCTGCTCCTTTTCGAAAACTTGACAACGCCAATATGTGAGCGCCAGGTACCAGTTCGCTCAGTCTGAACACATACTCAGCCGTCGGCATCAATACCATTGCTACCGCCAGAGAAGTCTCATCAATGCTATGGGAATACGTATGAACGCTCCAGCGAAGCGTGATGAGGTCACGACCAATGATGGTTTGATCTTGATTGACGAAATGAGTAATGGCAAGGCATCAAAGAAAGCGAAGAAGCTCGCTCGTCCCTGGTTCGTCGAAGTTCTCGTATCTGGAGGACGGAGAGATCATTCTCGGCATGTGAAACCTCGAACTAGAGCACTTGGACCTGGAGGCGTGCTAGTGGTGTATCCGAAGGTGCTGGCGATCGCGTCAGCGCAAGAATCCTACGTGGAGGCCTTTGTGTGGTGTGATGAAACTTGTCGAAGGACATCTTCACTTAAGGGTATTCTGTCCCTTTGAAAGGCTTGCAAGTGTACAGTTCAAGCTTGGAAGGTTTTTATGGCTAAACGCAGAAGAATAAAAAACGGCACGAGTATTTATTCGGACAGTTGCATCCAATGACCATAAAATCCAATCAGACAACTTCAACGAAACCAAAACTGGGGGAAGAAACGCGAGGTTTTACTAACAGAAATTCCCCAAAGAGGGACAACCTGAACACTGGATCCTTACGAATCTAGCCTCTATCGTACCTCTGGCGTCATAGGATATCCGAGTTTTCACTTCTCGATGATCTACGCTCAGTATTGTGGAATTGAGTGGGCGAAACTCCATGGCGACAAGATTCCGCGAAGAAGAATATCCACCACAACGAATAGCCAATGAAGTTCCGGAGCCATAGATCTTCAGGAACTTAGTCTCGGGAACTTGGCTGGCGGTGGAGCATGGCGGCCAAGGAGTGGACACGGAATGTCATCAATGTCCACGGCATAGAGAAAGAACTGGAGCAAGGGATCTCGGTGTGTCAAGCGACATCGGGCTAACCCCGCAGCCGGCAGCCGGGGGCCGGCAACCGACAACCGCGCAGCCGATCGACGCGGACGTCGGGGCTACCCCACCACCCTCACCGAGCTGACCGATTGCACTTCGTAGCAAAGAGATCGAAACGGTCCAAGTCGAGACACGATATTCTTGGACGAGATCTACAAGCTTTTAGATAAGCTGCTGTCAAAAGCCTATCCAAAGGATCGGGTCCACGTTGGACTGGCCAGCATACCGTTCTGTAGCACGTTCAATGACTTCTAGTCTGGAACGACATGTGCCAAGAAACACAACGGAAGTTCTGCAAAGAGCGGCATGTCGCCATCGTGACAATCTGAATGGCGCGCAAGAGGCCATCACGGTCTTCTACAATACAGATTTGACATACGTCTCGAGTCTTGGACGTTGATAGGGCGCCAAGAGTAGCCAAGGGCGGAAGACGCTTGGTATTCTCAGCCCTTCTGTTGGCGAGCTCTTCAAGGTGAGGTTACAGGTGTCTAGTCTAAGCCAAGAGGCTGGGCGCCAGCACGCCAGATGAGGCAGGAATTGCAACTTTGACAACGTCTCTGCGGCTTGTCCTGCAGCTTCTGGCACGAAATTGTCTTGCAATGGCGCGTTGTCGGGAGTCGGGACGAGGGTAGAACGTGGCGCAGGGTCCCTGATGATTGATATCGGGGCTTATCAAGCCACATTTCGCGGGGTACTTTGAATTGGCAATCTTCGTTGCGCCATACCACCGACGAGGACCCTTGATGAAGAACTCATTGCGCTGGTATCGCAAGTTTCTACGCTATTCCAAGAAGCCTCTGCTTTCCTCTTCGACGCAATGTAAACATGGGGTGGTCAGGCTGGGTTGAGGTGTTCTGTCAGACCTGGAGTAGGTTATTACCAATACCCGTCCCGACGCCAAAAAGATGCCGGAACACCGAGCCGCGACATTGCAAAACAGCGACCCCACGGCTTCATGGATCTCCCAGGGTCAGTCTCCGGGTCAGACATGCAACAGCATGGAGAAGAGCAGACTTTTTCCGCGGCTACGCACCGCGACCAAGTCTCTTTTCGGACGGCATGGGATGGGATGGGATGGGACCTTACGGTAACTTATCGTGGCGAACATGACTTAGTCGTGGCTGACTGCGGCAGAGAGGGCTACAAAGAGCCAACATTGGTAATTAAGAGTACATGGCATGCCGCCAAGGAGGGTACATGTGCAAGGTAGCGATCACGTCATTTGAACTAAACAGCCTCCAATTTTTACCTTGGACAACGGGGTATCCGTACAGCACCAGCAGCGCACCTCAGCAACACACGCAAGGCCGACTTGACGCCGGGAACGAGCGACAATTCTCTCACTTTGTCTCTGTCCTTCTGTCTGTGTGTCCGAGGAGAATAAAAGACACCTTTGCCCTCGCCCGTCTCCTCGCCAGACTCCCTCTCCCGCTTGTTCTCCTGTCTCTTCTATTTCATCCGTGAATCCCCTCCCATCTACCTTTTTATACCCAATATTCCCTTTACAACGAGAAGCTGCAGGCTCAATTCGTTGTGTGTTCTCTCTCTTCCTCTCTAAGCATCGTCTAGAGTGTGTCTTTTGACGATCCCATAATAACCCGCTCCCTACTACAAAGCTTCGCGCTTTCTTCAAAGACATACACAATGGCCAACTCTCCCCACGGCGGTGTCCTCAAGGACCTTTTCGCGCGCGATGCGCCCCGCCAGTCTGAGCTGTTAGCCGAGGCCGACAAGCTCCCTTCTCTCCTGTTGACCGAGCGTCACCTCTGCGATCTTGAGCTGATCCTCAACGGTGGCTTCTCTCCTCTCGAAGGTACGTGGTGTTTACTGCCCGCGCTGTTGCTGCTACTTTCTGCTGGCTGCTGCTGCGGCGGTTGCCCCCCTTCTGCATCCGTTGCGCGACGAGGTTGGTGGGGTTGCGTTGCGGAAACGACCCCGCCATGATTTTTTTTGGAGGGGCAAAGTTCCCCACGATTACGTTGCTCGCCCAAGAACAGCGGGACTGACTGTGGTGGCATCTCTATAGGTTTCATGACCGAGAAGGACTACAATGGGTACGTTGAACATGCGAACAAGACTTGCTCCCCAGAAGATGCTGGTCGCTAACATGATTGGTGCAGAGTCGTCAAGGACAACCGTCTCGCCGATGGCGCTCTCTTCTCCATGCCCATCACCCTCGATGTCTCCCAGCAGCAGATCGACACCCTCTCCATCAAGCCCGGTGCGCGCATCACCCTCCGCGACCTTAGAGACGACCGTAACCTTGCCATCCTTACCGTTGAGGATGTCTACAAGCCCGACAGGTAGGTCAAACATGTCTTCAGGGAATTGGCATCGGCTGACATGTTTCTGTAGAGTCAAGGAGGCCATTGAGGTCTTTGGCAGCGACGACGACACCCACCCCGGTGTGAAGCACCTCTTCAACAATACCAACGACTTTTACGTTGGCGGTAAGCTCGAGGCTATCCAGCGTCTTGCTCACTACGACTTCCTCGACCTCAGATGTAAGTCCACCATGCCCTTGGCCCATACCAACGCAGCAAACCCACAACATCGAGACTAACGAGTATCAAAAGTCACTCCCGCCGAGTTGAGACAGCACTTTGAGAAGCTCGGCTGGAACAAGGTCGTCGCTTTCCAGACTCGCAACCCCATGCACCGCGCTCACAGAGAGCTCACGGTCCGCGCCGCCCGCTCCCAACAAGCCAATGTCCTTATCCACCCCGTCGTCGGCATGACCAAGCCCGGTGACATTGACCACTTCACCCGTGTCCGCGTCTACAAGGCCCTCCTCCCCAGATACCCCAACGGCATGGCCGCCCTGGCCCTGCTGCCCCTGGCCATGCGCATGGGCGGTCCCCGCGAGGCCATCTGGCACGCCATCATCCGCAAGAACCACGGCGCCACGCACTTCATTGTCGGCCGTGACCACGCCGGCC